TCTTTTAACTTTTCTATCTTGTTCCATCAGCATATCAGATTGGTTTTGTGCTCACATTGCTACTGAGAGGATGCAGAGAGAAAGTATAGATGGAAATTTAACAGAAAAAGAAAACTATTCAATACCATGTAGTTATATTGTTTAGATTTTTGTTTCTAATGTCTGTTGACACTGACAGAGTAATGACCAATTTATTATAATAAAAGTTATCAGTCTGTCATCGAGGAAGAATTTTCAGTTCAAAATAAGAATAGTTTAATAAGATGTTATAAGCACCAAACCTGTTGTTATCACTGGGGGGGACAACCTAACCTTTGCCTGGAGGGATGTTAGCGAAGTTCAGCCTCATAGTAAGCTGGTATCCTTGCTTCGCAGGTTCGACAATTTCCACGATGTTATAGGGAACACTTTTTACCATTTCAATGGTATATGGCGAAAGCCCATAAGATAGCATAACACCTTGAGAGAGAAGTGGGGTTGATATTGACAAGTAAACAATATGTGGTTCAGATGCTGAAGACTGTTAAACAAGGGATTCAACACATTGTCAAATTAATTGTTGAAAGCTAGATGTATCCAAGACAACAATAAAAATGTTAAAGGTTTACATAAGCAGACATGCAGCTTAAGTAATTTCCACTAACCTTGCCAAAAATCTTTACAAGTTCACCTCACATTTTTAGCTCGTTGCATAAGTTCTCTAATTAATTTATGATGTCTCAACTTTAGATAATGGCAGGTCTTATGATGTTTGACATGGGAACTAAGGGATGCATTATTACAGAAACTATCTAACTAAAGTAGTAGGTCGAATATTTACAATTACCAGTAAAGTATGTCAAACTTAAACTACCCATATAATCTTAAAGATTTACCTGAACGTGGTACTCCACAGACCCAAGCTCATACAAGTGATGATCGACCTCCATAGGTTTTCGGGCACTGTCATGGAAGGAAACATTATGTTATATGATCTCTTTTCTGAAAGCTGAAGGAAATTGATCAGTTGTACTATTTAGTTGTTGAGGAAACAGATGATAAGGAGAAGCTCGAGAAATTGCAGATAGTCATAACCATTCTTACTTTGCTTTTATTTTGAAATTGTTTCTGTTCTCTCTTTTAATCAATTAGAGCTGTATATATTCCTCGAAAAGTATTGTTGTGTATACATTAAATAAATTACTGTAAATTAAACATTATTTTTGGATTAGTTCTATGTTTAGTCTATGTCTAGTTTCTATTTTGTTTTTGGTTACTTA